GTTTAGATCAAGAAAGTGTCAGGAGAGGAGCTGTTCCTTCTTCACAGGAAGTTTTAAATTCAATTGCGACAAAGTACTTACAGGAACTCAACCCTTCGACACCTGAGGAGTTTAATAAATTTATTCAGTACATGAAGGAGGTGCGTAAAGTTATTGTTGTGGATGTTCAAAGTGGAAGTTTAATACTCATACTGGAATGTAGCTCTCTTCAGATCCTTGACGAACTCTGGGAAGACTATCGCACAGGTCACTTAAATGAAGTGGCACAAAAATTCCTTGTAACAGAAGAAATTCTCAAGGAATTTGGCCTAGCTGAAGTAAAACTCACAACAACTATTAACGAAGAGGAATACAAAGCTTGTCGTGAGCTTTTATTGAATTCTTCAAGTAAGTATTAACTGCTTAATCACAAATCCTAAATACACGTACTGGTGTTTAGCAAAACACGGCCTGGATTTCGACATACCAATCTGGTAAGTACCCTGGGTGTGACGCAGTGCGACCCCCCCCTTTGAAAAATTCTAGGTACGCCCCTGAGTTAACATATGCGGAACTACGGCTCGCCACGATCCCCTACGTATTCGGGAAACGTGTACGGCGAGAAAATAAGTTTAATTAGCAAATCACCAAATTTGCACGTGCATCTTACTTTTTTTCCCCCATTTTTTTGCCATCGTGCACGATCTCGACATGAAAATTCCTAATTTCATGTTTTATGGGGGACGTGTCGTAAACAAACAATGATGAGCTCTTTTCCCCAGGGCGTAAGAGGTTAGGGCGTTGAAACGAGCGAGGTCGAGAGATCTAGCTGTGATGCAAGGGTTTGGGTACTATCAAAGAGACAAAACAAGATGGCGGACATTATATTGGACTGTCAGAGAGATTATCCAGCGAAAGTTAGCCATTATCCTGTGGCATTCATTTGCTGCAAGCAATAGCGAAGGAAAAATTATTTTTTCTCATGTTTGTTTTCTGCTTTGTTCAATTTTTCCCCCGCGAACAAATATCTGTATTGAATATAGTTCCACCTCCGTGACCTGTATGAAAATTTCGTAACTTGGTAAGAAAATGACATCACAACTCAGATGATAGCACTGACATCATTTTTAGACTAATATTATCGGTTCCCTACTTCAGTTTAACACCAAGTTGTGTAATTCATCATCTGCTATGGCATTTTTTTTTTGCTGCCCAGTTTCAAGGCCAGATGATCTGTTTTCACTATTACAGTTTGGATTTGTTGGTGTACATCAGTATTGTTCTCTAAACACCTTATCGAGCTATCTCCAATATTGAGCATTACAGTTGGACAGATTGTGAAAACTAAAGTCCGGGTAAATTTAAAATTTAATAAAATCATCATGTTTTATCTTGGACACTAATACTACTGTGCAATGAAGAATAAGGATGAGAAAAAAAATATAATTCACTGCCCTTTAAAAACTAGCAAAGAGGTCGCAAGAACACAAATAAGTAGCCCAGTAAATATTTTTGTTTGATAATAACAGCTTTTTGTAATGAAATGGTCACTGAAAACTACCCATGCAAGATATACTAAGGAACTTAAAAGAAACTAAACATTCACTAGTCTTACATTGAAACCAGACATTGCTATATATTTATCTTACATTACAAATTCAAAAGTATATTGCAAACACGAAAATTATACAGAATTGTGCACAAATGAAATACAAATGGCCTGTAACAGCTATTAAACCATTGAAACACAAACTTTTTAGTGTGGCCAGCAACCCCAGCACACTTGTATACTTCATGTTCAGTATGATTAAATTTCATTCTTGGTTAAATTTATTAACTGCAGCAGGCTGAATCAAACTTGATTCAAAAAATACTTTCCTGTTTCCTTGTCTACAATATGTAACGTTAAGAGAGAGGATATAATGCTAGAAATATCATATAGTAGTACAATCAAAAGATAAGGCACCTTCAGGAAATCGAGTTGGTCCCTACTATTCTTCATTCATTTTCTTTTACTCCGGATAAGAGTTACACCTGTCCATTGACACAGACATTTTGTGCCAGTCCCAATAATTCCCATCTGAGAGCTGACTGTAGTTTGTGCAACACCACACTTAAGCCTCTAACGACAAAAATACAATGTTACACAGTCTTAATTTATTCTACTTGCAATTAAATTAAGACCTCTTCATGTTCTTCTTCATATTCACGGTATTATGAACTCGTTTATCTTTCAGTGTGTGTCTTTTCAGGCGGGGCACTCACTGTTGTCCTGCAAAAAATCATAATAACAAACACATCCTATGATTTAATTTTACCGTGGAATCTTTGTGGGGAATTGAAAGCAAATTTCTCTACAGGCTTTTTTCTGTTTCTGTGCAATACAACCTTTAGATTTATACCGCCGTGAAGCAGAATTTGTTGTTGTTTATGTAAAGACTGTCACATGCACGAGATCATTCGAATGCACTTTTCTAATAGAACTTCAAAAATAGTCAGAACCTTCTTGGATCGCGGTTCTGTAACTAAAAAAATTATTTACCATCTTAGTGTACATTAAAAAAAGAAAAATCGCTAAATTGGGCAACTGAAATCTTTTATTTTAGTAACAAGCTAAACGCCAACGTACAAAAGAAAAACCTTGCTATCGCCTTTATGAAGTCGTCACTTCAGAAGTGAAAAAATCGTAAAGGTTAATAAAAGTTCACTCTAAAACTTTGCATGCACAAACAAAATTTATAAAACCATTAAACATTTTTTTTGTAGCCGTTTATTATCATTTGGTTTTGACTGGCAATATAAAACGCGACCTTCAACCTGTAATATGCGATAGGCCATTTTGACACTACATAAACAAAAAAAGGCGAAAAAACACCTTAACTTACAAGACTTAACTTAACTTTACTTAACTTAACCTTAACTTACAAATCTAAAAATATAAAGCAATAAATCCGAACCTACCTTCAGCTAAACGGTGCCATTTTTCTTGCCCTGACAGCGGATCGATAGCTGAAAGGCCAACTAGTTCCAGTCCTACTCCGCATCACAGCTGAACCAGAGAGCGCGTTTTTGCGTTTCGACGCCCTAACTTCTTATGCCCTGCTTTTCCCTGTCCTAACTCGGATATGAGTTCGCCTACATTAGACAAAGAACCGACTTGCAATAATCACAAATAATTTAAAAAGAATGCAAATTCACGTTTTATAAAAAAGTGGCGATTTGTTGGCTGCTGTCGTAGTCTTCACTTTAGGCATTGATGCGTGGCCGGAAAAAAAACTACTTCCGGTCACCGTGCTGTCCTTACTAGACTTATCTGTAGTCCTTCTTAAATCACTAAACACTAATATCTAATTATATATTTTTTTAAATGATATCGCCTGCATTCCTATTCAATGGTTCTACTGATTTCTTTTGGTCTTTATTCAGTTAAATAAAATATGTATTTCCTCTTTTTCTGGTGCTGTAGAGAATCAATCTAGTGTTGCTGATAACCTTTATCAACTTGGAATCAAGAAACGTGAGCAACAAGATATCAAATCATCCCACGAATTCGACCAGCGTTCGCCGGGCATACTTAAAAAACTATTTGGGGAAGAACTCCAAAGTACTGCTGACTGGTACTACGACGTGGGGATAACACAGCATCACCTTGGTGATTTTAAAGCAGCTCTGCAGTCAGAACAGCGTGCACTGGAAATACGAGTTAAACTGTTTGGAGAAGAACACCAAAGTACTGCTAACTGTTACCAGTCACTGGGGGTAACACAGTATGAACTAGGTGATTTTAAAGCAGCTCTTCAATCACACCAGCGTGCACTTGGCATACGTGTTAAACTGTTTGGAGAAGAACACCAAAGTACTGCTGACTGTTACTACTCACTGGGGCTAACACAGCATGAACTAGGTGATTCCAAAGAGGCTCTGCAGTCAGAACGGCGTGCACTGAAAATACGTATTAAACTGTTTGGAGAAGAACACCAAAGTACTGCTGACTGTTACTACGCACTGGGGATAACGCAGCTGAAACTGGGTGATTTCAAAGCAGCTCTTCAATCTTATCAGCGTGCGCTGGACATACGTATCAAACTGTGGAGAAGAACACCAAAGTACTGCTGACTGTTACCACTCACTCAGGTTAACACAGCATAACCTTGGTGATTTTAAAGCAGCTCTGCAGTCAAAACAGCTTGCGCTGGAAATGTGTATTAAACTGTTTGGAGAAGAACACCAAAAGTACTAATGACTGTTACTACTCACTGGGGATAACACAGCACGAACTAGGTGATTTCAAAGCAGCTCTTCATTCGTTTCAGCACGCGCTGGACATACGTATTAAACTGTTTGGAGAAGAACACCAAAGTACTGATGACTGTCACTACTCACTGGGGATAACACAGCGCGAACTAGGTGATTTCAAAGCAGCACTTCAATCTCACCAGCGTGCGCTGGACATACGTATTAAACTGTTTGGAGAAGAACACCAAAAGTACTGCTGACTGTTACTACTCACTGGGGATAACACAGCATGAACTAGGTGATTTCAAAGCAACTCTTCAATCTCATCAGCGTGCGCTGGACATACGTATTAAACTGAATGGAGAAGAACACCAAAGTACTGCTGACTGTTGCTACTCACTGGGGATAACGCTGCATGAACTAGGTGATTTCAAAGCAGCCCTTCAATCTCACCAGCGTGCGCTCGGCACACGTATTAAACTGTTTGGAGAAGATCACCGAAGTACTGCTGACTGTTACTACTTACTGGGGGTAACACAGCATGAACTAGGTGATTTTAAAAGCAACACTTCAATCTCACCAGCGTGCACAGGAAATACGTTTTAAACTGTTTGGAGAAGAACACCAAAGTACTGCTGACTGTTACTACTCACTGGGGATAACACAGCACGAACTAAATGATTTCAAAGCAGCTCTGCAGTCAAAACAGTCTGCACTGGAAATACGTATTAAACTGTTTGGAGAAGAACACCAAAAGTACTGCCAACTGTTACTACTCACTGGGGATGACGCTTCATGAACTAAAAGATTTCAAAGCAGCTCTCCAATCGTTCCAGCACGCGCTTGACATACGTATCCAACTGTTTGGAGAAGAACACCAAAGTACTGCCGACTGTTACTACTCACTGGGGATAACACAGCATGAACTAGGTGATTTCAAAGCGGCTCTGCAGTCAAAACAGCGTGCGTTGGAAATAAGTATTAAACTGTTTGGAGAGGAACACAAAAGTACTGCTGACTGTTACCATTCACTGGGGATAACACAGCATGAACTAGGTGATTTCAAAGCAGCTCTGCAGTCAAAACATCGTGCGTTGGAAATACGTATTAAACTGTTTGGAGAGGAAAACAAACGTACTGCTGACTGTTACTACTCACTTGGGGTAACTCAGCATAAGATGGGTGATTTCAATGCCGCGGTTCAATCTTCACGGCGTGCTCTTAATATACGTATTAAACTGTTTGGAGAAGAACACCAAAGTACTGCTGACTGTTATCGCTCACTGGGAAAAGCACAGCACGGACTAGGTGATTACAAGGCAGCTGCTCAGTCAACAGAGCGTTGGCAGGACATACGTAATAAACTGCGCGGAGAAGAAAACCAAAGTACTGCCTCCTGAATGCTACTATAGAAACTTGGAATTACAGAACATAAGCCAGGGATCAGGTAGGGAATTTCAATGAAGCACTTTAGTCGAAAATGCGCCGTGCACTGGATAAACATATCATGGTTGGACAGGAACACAAAAATACTGCTGACATTTTTTCATGTTTTTTAAATTAGTACACATTAGATGTAACATAAGAAAGCATTACAGTGCAGCTCTCGCGTCAAAACAGCTTGCGCTAGATGAAGGTTTTTCAACGTTTTGGAGAAGAACCGCCAAAGTGCTGCTAACTGTTACTACGTTTTGGAGAGAACACTGCAGCTCGTAGGTTAACCCAGCCGTATATACGCTGTACGTACGTAATTAACAGCGTGGAAAATAAGACCTAAGTATTAGAGGATTTCAATGCAGCCCTTCCTTCAAAACAGCTTGTGATGCATATATGTGTTACACTGTTTGGAGAAGAACACTTCAGTACTGCGAATTTTTACTATGATTTACAGCCACCGTATTGAGGAGAACACAGCTGGGTTGCTCATTTCACTGCAGCTTTTTTCACTCAGAACAGTGTGCGCTGGGGATTATGTACTATACTGTTTAGACTCTGTTTGGAGAGTTTGGAACATTAAGAGTACTGCTGATTGTTAAGCTCCGTGCCCGGGCTCCGTGCAGACGGACGCAACATTGTTGGCCAACAAATCCCAACAATACTGGATGTTACACGTTGCGTCCGTTTGCACACCTTGTTCATGTTGGTGGGAGTTTATGCACAAAGTTTGAAACCGATAAACCTTTTAGCTCACGTGCTAACGGCCGCAAAATCCCCAAAATGTTGGGCGTTTTGGCCAGCATCGTTGAGTCCGTAGCAAGGGGCTTTACTTCGAGGTAGAGCGGATAAAAAGCCGCCTAAACTAGGTGACTTTAAATCCGCTGTTTATTCTTTTCACCTGGACAGTGACCGTGAAGTGGAGGAATTAAACGCAGCTTACATTGAGTAACTGAGTTGACAAAATCATACTGTCGAGAGTAAATTACGATCATGGCCGTATTAGAAAGGTTATGTCATTGTATCTCTCATTGTGCGAGTCAGGTTTTTAATTTAGCTATCTTAATTATGAGGCCAAAGCAGTAGAGTTTTAAACCAAGGCCTGAAAACGGCCTTGATCAATACTTAGCGGTCTAACCACACGCATGCGTCTCGTGGTTCCACTTGATATTTGAGGACTTTGACATAATATCATGTTGGTCGATAAGAGAATACATAGACTATGGAATCAGTTTTTGACAATTTGTGTGATAGAATTTAGATTTTTTGTGGCAAGTTGACGTCAAATTGATATCTTTGGTCTGTTTTAGTTTGTTTTAAAACATATGTAGGCTCAGTCATTCAGTCGAGAAGGGTATTTATCCGTGTGGGAACTAGATCAATTATATGAAAATCATTTACGATATGATCAGTTTCATCATAATGTGTGGCGCTGAAAGAGCAATGAAACAAGTTTTCATTTCATGCATTTACTTGCATTAATTTGTACATCTTCGGGATGTTATTTCCAAACATGACGTAAATCATAAAGGATTTTTAAAGGTCACTTTATTAATTTCCCGTCCACCCTCAATGGGATACTCAACAAAGTTTATAGACGCTTTTTCTGAGGAAGGCTGCACCCCGAGGTCTCATTCTTCTAGCTTTCTTTTTTGCCATTTTTGATAGTAAGGTACCCCTTCCGTAGACCTTCTAATGACAAATTGTACCCCGTCACACTCGAGCACCTGATATAAGTAATGATCGCTAAACCAGGAAGTCCTCTTTTATTTTACAGCCGCTAAGATGCATCTGTACGAAAAATTTGAATACCTAAATGATAGTTTCCCCACTCTTTCCCAGACCCGTAGACGGCGAGTAGTCTCTCTTTTTCTTTATGAGGGGAGGGAAGTGCACTCGCGCGCGAGCGTCAAGCGCCTTCAGTCACCCGGGTGGTCGTTTGGCTCGACGGACTAAGAAAAAAGAGAGACTGCTCGTAGTCTACAGACCCCTCTATACACCTAAAGCCTGAAAAGCGTACCCCTTTTGAGTGGAGCAGAACGGTGGACAGGGTGATTATTAAATAGAGTCTAGAAAATTCATTCATTCGCTGCGAGCAATATAGCGAAGGGCTATAGCATGCATTCTGGGGAACTATAATATCATAAAATTCTGCAAATTAGCAACTAAACAAAGAGTTTACTGGGATACAAATAACTAGTCCAGCAAATATGTTTACTTGATAGTTAATAACTGAAAACTACCTGTGCAAGAGACTGAATGAGGTACTTATAAAAACGAAACTAATAACATTAAACTATAATAATAGCGAAGAGAGATTTTCTGAATCCTGTCATAATGATATTTAGAATAAAACGAAGATTCAATTCACAGGATAGAAAAAACTTCTTACTTAATTATTACTGATTTACTTATTTAACCTATACTGTTAATGTAGTCCTCCAGGGACATGTTCTCTCTGGAGTGAGTTGCTTTGAATCCAAACTTTGCTTTGTGATAAAACATAACACATACAATTGCTTAAAAATTTAACAAATGTCTCATAAATGATGTGGTTCAATTAAATTCTTGGTTGAAACTTTCCTTTGTGTCAGACACATTATCATACAAGCTACGGGTCCTACAGTCCGAAAAAGATGAGTGTCAAAATATACTGCAATGAATACCTTAAACGTCAATTATACTCCCGGCTTATACAACTTCGTAAATGGGCAGTTTAGGAGGCTTATAAATGGAGCCCTACTATATCCGCACTAAAGAAAAACTTTTAAAACAAGCAACAAAAGTAGTCTGCTACACAGCCGTTTTTAGTGTTGTCAAGAAACGCTCCTCCCCACCAACGGCCGTTAGTGGGGAGGAGCGTCGCGTGACGACACTAAAAAAAATGGCTTTGTAGCCTCAAAAACTTTGTTGAATTTACTCGCCTTTTTTAAGCTTCAAAACCTCGCAAAAATCGAATTTATTTAATTTTAGTACAAGCAAGATAGGGGCTTACATTCGACAGGGGATGGGGGGTAACCGGATGTCTTTTTTGTTTTCAGCTCAGGGCCCAAGTTATCGTCTATAACTGCTGGGAGGGCTGATAAGGGAGATTATAAAGGAAGATTACAGTATATGACTAGACTTTGTTTTTATTGTTAATTGATGTCTAAAAGGCCGATTTTGGTATAACAGTTTGTTGCATGCGATGTCCTTACCATAAGCAGATCAAACCAACGCCATCCTCGTTGTTTCTTATGGTCACCTGGTCTTGAAATAAAACCAAGCATCTTTATGATTATAAACCAACATCAGGCTGTGATTGCATGTCTGAGACGTTTTTTTCACAATACATTTCGGTTTTTACCTGTATCTTCGGCACATTATTGATCGGATGCGACAAAGTTGTATCGTGTAATTGAATCTTGTTGAAAAAACTTAACTTGAAGAGGCTTCGTTACGCTAATTCTTCTCTTTTTAAAAGCTGAAACTTGCTTAAATTCCAAAAAATAATGGTCCAGTTTTCTTAGCTAAGACTATATTTAGTAGAAAACTGTTTTCAGTGTCGTCTATTTCAACGGATGGCAAGGATAGACTTTGATTAAACCGTTTTGTCAAGTTTCAATGTTATTCCTTGCAAAAATCTCCAAAACAGTAATTATGGGTAGTGCTCCAAGAATTGTTTGATATCTTCTTCATGACGCTTCAGGAGATTTTTGTGAGATTTTGAAACAAATTGACTTAAACAGCAATACCTCGTGGCATAGCCCTGCAGATTAAATTTAGGTTTCTGAATAATGCCCAACTACCCCTCCTGCAACCCCAATTTTTTCCCAAGTGAGACGCAAATGTAAACGCTGAGTTAGGGAGGGTAGGTGGGCAGTTTTTTTGAAACCTAAATTGATCCGCCCTGTCAATGCTAAAAGAACCTTTATGTTCTGTTGAGCTAAATAATTGCATTTAACAACAACAACAAATACCAAAAGCTTTATTTGCATGACCATAAAGGAATTACAGTATTGCAAAAGCTATTAGTCTAAATTTAGCGTACTAATTCAACTAATTAGTGAGTGCAAAACATTACAAACGTTACAGTTCTCATTCATTCGTTCATTGATATTAATTTGGTTCTTAATTCAAAGCATTGCAAGATAAATGAAACTAATTGACAGTTAATTAAATAATCAGAAGAATTCATAAGAAGAGATATTAAAGTATCGTGTGAAAGCGATTTAAAGTCAGGTATTTTAGTTTTCTAGTTTGGAGAAAATATGTCTCTGATCTGAGAATAAGCCTTACAATCTAGTACTTGAGTACCTAATAAATAGACTGACCTCATTGAAACGGAATAAACTTTCAAAATTTTTGGTTTTACCAGGACTGCAGGAGCAAATTTTGAAGGAGAGGCTAACGACGGCCAAAGGCGTGAGAAATTAGGAGGTTGGGGGAAATTGTCCCCGGAAATTTGAAATAAAGACTCTCAAAGTACGATTTCCAGCGTTTTGAAGTGCATTTACGACATGTTTCAGTATTTAACTTCATGAAACTCTACTCATTGTGTTAATGAGAAAAGGCATTCCTGACCGTGATAATAAAAAAATCTTTAAAAACGCAGCCAACGTCACAATTATTCGTGGATGTTCTCAGATTGCTACTAAATGAGAGTTTATACATTGACATTTTCAGGTTTTTTTTTAATCCGCATTGTACATGAATGTTTTACAATCGAAGAGCTGGATAACTTGCTATATGATGTTTACTTACAGAAAACAATCAAAATGGCGGCAAAGTTATTGGGGACCATAGTCCTAGTCCCCCAGCTCCGCGGTTCCTGTTTACTTGTTTACTATAACCCTGTGCTCCCCTTATAAATACATATAAAAGAATTGAAGACAAAACCAATCCAAAAAACGTTGCCCCAGGTTTAATTTAAGGTTTGTTTGAGCAATATGACGACGCAGTAATAGCCGTCAAATTGGAAACCGGT